AACTCTTAGCTTTTTATTGCTTTATCTTTTCACTAGAAATATTTTATTGTTTAAATATTTCTACTAACAAACTGTGCCAATTTGTTAATTTAATATGCTTCGAATATTCTTTCATTAGTGCCCTGCATTTTACAGGGCACAACAAATTAATGCTTTTACCCCTTCTTAGACAATGAAAAGATCTAACTATCCTTCCTATGGTTTAAATATTTGTGTCTTCTTAAAATTTATATTGAGACTTAATCCCTATTTTGCTGGTTTTAAGAGGTAGGGCCTTTGGGGAACTAATTAAGTCAGCAGGGCTTTGCCGTAATGATTTGATTAGTGCCTCACAAAAAGGCTGTTAGGAACTAGTATTCGCCCCATTTTCCCTTCTGCCATGTGAGGACGTAGCAACATGGTGCCATCTTGGAAGCAGAAAGCAGCCCTCATCAGACACCAAATCTGCTGACACCTTGATCTTAGACTTTCTTGCCTTGAGAACTGTGAGAAATAGATTTTCATTGCTTATAAATTGTTCAATCTATGGAATTTTGTTATTGCAACAAAAATGGACTAAGACTACCCTCTCCTTTTATTTACTGATTATCCTATATTTGCTTTCTGAATTCTGATATAAAAATATATTTAAAGTTTGAAACATTGTCATCAATATTTTATTCATTTACTATTTAGGTAGGTATATCCACATAATTTCTTTTGAAATACATCATCTTTAGAATATATTTAAATTTTATTTTCTTTTCTTCTAGGGAATAGCAACTAATTCTCTCCATTTAAAAACACTTCTTGAAGATGAAGTCGTTTGCCATCGTATTTAAGAATATTTTCACTTATTATTGACTTCCAATTAATCCATAACTCTTAAGACACTAGGTATAGCCATTATTAACCATAGTCACAGTAATATATATTTTGATTCTATATCTATATATGTACTATATATTTATATCATATAGAGTAAATTTTGATTACTCCTATTATTTTCAGTGACTTTGTTGCCTTTTTATATTATTATTATGTGTTTGAATAAGCATAGATTCCATTAAAGTTAAATGCTGGAAGAGTAAAAAAACACATTTTGTTACATATAACAAGGATATGATATACAGTTATGTGACAAAAGAAATAGTGTTTTGGTCGACAATGCACCACATATATGATGGTGGTTCCATAAAATTATAATGGAGCTGAAAAATTCCTATATCCTAGTGACACCGTAGCTGTTGTCGTAGGACAGCTCGTTGTTCACATGTTTGTGGTGATACTAGTTGTAAACAAACCTACTGAGCTGCCAGTCATGTAAACATATAGCATATACAATTTTGTACA